ACAGCTCACAGCAACCTCCAGCTCCTGGGCTCAAGCGAGTCTCCTGCCTCCGCCTCCCAAGTAGCTGGGACCACAGGCGCCCGCCACAATGCCTGGCCAGTCCTGGTGTCTTCTTTTGGCTACTTCAAAGTATAGAGCTCTCTCTCACTTTAGGATGTTTGCACATACTATAACCTCTCCACTGAACTTATTAATTCTTAGGTTTAAAATAATACTTTCTTGTTTGGGGGCAGTGGCTCACACTTGTAATCCTAGCACTTAGCGAAAGAGAGCCAGGAGGATTGCTTGAGGCCAAGAGTTTGAGACCAGCCTGAGCAACATAGAAAGATCTCAACTCTACAAAAAGCAAAAAATTAGCAAGTTATGGTCCACATACCTATAGTCCCAGCTACTCCAGAGGCTAAAGTGGGAGGATCTCTTGAGGCCAGGAATTTGAGCTCTGACAAAGCCACTGCACTTCAGCATGGGTGATAGAGTAAGACCCTGCCTCTAAATTAATTAATTAATTAAAGTTAAAATTAAAAAATGAATACTTTTACAAAGAGTTTTCACACGATCACTTTTATATTCTCATGGCATCTTATATATTTTTAGTAGATCTAGGCAAAGTTTATTATGTATATGTGTGTATGTGTGTGTGTGATTATTTGTTATACACAGGTTCATGAATTATATATAGATTTTGATGATTATTTGTTTTAGGCACACATTTGTTACTTACTAGGGTATCAACTCCAGGAGGGTGAGAACCAGGTCTATTTTTACTCACCACTTTTACCCTCAATACGAAACACAATAGCTACTACATAGTAGACACTAAAAAAAAAAAAAAAAAAAAAAAAAGAAAGGAAAACAAGAGTTATTGACTAGGAAATGAATAAAGAATGCTTTGTAAAACAATTCTAGCTTGGAATATCAGAAACCTTTTAGTGTTCATTTTCTCCTGCTCCCAGGTTGCGTCGCCCACAGACACAAGCAATTTTGACAGTTTCCCTGAGGACAACGATGAACCACCGCCTGACGACAACTCAGGATGGGACATAGACTTCTAATGTATTTCTCTTACCTGCTTCTGCCTTGCTGAAGACAGCTTTTTCTGAGACACAGCTGCCAGCAAACCTGAGGGAAAGAGAGAAGATTAGTGCTCGGGGTCACCATGATGCCTTTGATCGATGCTGCTCCAGTAACTACAGTGGCATTAGGACTTATCGCTTAGATGACAATAGTGCTCTTTACATGTTTTCTGTTTGAACCTAAAATAGCAGTTGACATGGTGGTCCTGAAGCAAAGCCTTTCACCAGTAAAGAGATGTTTTCTATTGTTGCAATGATCTTGCTTTGCTCTGATTATAATTTGAAAGGCTGTAGGAAACACTTCAATCTAGTAAAAGAGGTTGTACCTTGCTAGAATATTCAAGGAGAAGAAAGAATAATATATTGGGTACGATAGATTACTATGGTACAGAAACTGGGCGATTCCCTTTTTTCAAGTGCAGGTGGCGGGATCTGTTACTGCAAGCCGGTCTATATACCGCACAAAAGAGGACCACACATCCGATGGTCACAGAGTTCATGTCAAACCAGTGCTAGAAGTTTTACCATTTTATTTCCCAGTAGTGCTGAGGACAAGACTGAATGTTACCTTTTCTTTCTGACAGATTTTAAAAATTGATATGATAAAAGCACAACTGCTGTGGATTCTGCTGAGACCTCTTCTAGCAGGTAGATCTGTGTTCTTCACAGAGGATTGAGAAATAATGCATGAGATTTTGTTTTTGATAAATTGGCATGACAGAGTGGGGGAAAAAAGCAATTCACAAAACCATTTCATTTAAAAAAATATATTCTGTCAAAGATGGGTCCTGGAAGTAAATGACTAGCAGCCAATTGGTTTTATTTATTACCTAACATACCCTCAAACTGAGGCTTAAAGTATTCCCTTTTATAAAAATAAACCCTTGGGGTGGAGTGGGGTTGGGAGGGATTAAAACTGATCCAAAAAATAAGTTAAAAACTATATAGGTGCTATGTATATCTTTCATCTGTAAATGTCAGTGTCCGAACAGACAACACAAATTCTAATCATTACATGTGTAGCCAGAGACTCAAGCATTTCCACCAAATTTATTAAATCAAACTCCTGTCAGATTTCACTTAGACAACACCTTCTAGGGTTGAGGGACAAAGGTGATTAAAAAGTTATTTAAACCAGCTTCTTGTCTTAGGCCTGAACCAAAAAACACCAAATTCAAATTTAAAAATGAAGGAAAAAGGCAAACATAGAAAGCATAAAGTCAAAAAAGATTTACCAGATCGGGAAGAGGAAACTTCCTTCCTGGCGGTCAGGGAAGAAGACAAGACCCAGGTGTGGATTACCTTTTTTGCGAATGAGCCCATTTCAGTCTATGTACTTGTAGAGGAAATTGGGAAGCTGATTTCTTAAAAATAAATTTTAGCTAAAAAGGATAGAAATACTACAATCTTAAATTTTCAATATTCCTAGGAAAGACTAGATTTGCACATATCAATCCTACCTGTTTTTTCACATGGGGAAAAGAATCAGCAAATTAAACTGGGTCCTTTGTGACAGGCTAGTAGCGAGTCCATAAGTACCATGGGCATGAGGAAGCTTTGCCTGGACAATGTCATTGTACCTCCCCATGAAAGTACATCACCTTTCAAGCTGTCATCCTGATTTAGAACTGAGAATGGATTTGGTATATAAAATTGAGGTTTGCTTTATTTCAATAGAGTTGGGTTTTTTTAATCAACTGTGGACATGTCTACAAAAAATAAATATGTCCCCTTGTATCATTACACCCTAGCCAAGGAGGCATGTATTATGAATTTAGTTTGAATTTGTTATACTTAAAACTACTTTAGAATATGATATCGGAATATAATACTCTAAAAGCGTTTGGAGGAGAAAAGTGCCAAGGGTATCAAATATAATTGGAAAACCCTTAAATTAAAACTTTGATCCTGGTCAAGCAAAATGGCTCACACCTGTAATCCTAGCACTCTGGGAGGCCAAGGCAGGTGAACTGCTTGAGCTCAGGAGTTTGAGACCAGCCTGAGCAAGAGTGAGACTCCGTCTCTACTAAAAATAGAAAAACTAGCCAGGTATGGTGGGTGCCTGTTGTCCCAGTTACTGGAGAGGCTGAGACAAGAGGATTGCCTGAGCCCAAGAGTTTGAGGTTGCTTTGAGCTATGGACACCCTCCCTACCTAGGGTGACAGAGTGAGACTCTGCCTCAAGAAAACAAAGAAAAAAGCCCCAAAACAACAAAGGAAAAACTCTGATCCTAAGATGTTATTTTTGTGTTATTACAGTTTTCCCTCCCTTACAATTTCTCAAAATCAATCTATTCCCCCCACAATATACACCCTCTTCTACAGATTTTAGAAAACACAATTAAATATGTCAACCTGAAATCCAGCTATGAATGCTATTTCAAAAGTTTTATATTTCTTTTCATTGGACTTTTAAAAATAGAGAATGCCAACATTATAGCCAGCATTGCCCAACTTTTGTTGAATGATAGTGTGCTTTAAACATGCTCGGTAGAATTTTAAATTTACCTTGTCATTAGGAAGGAGAATCTACTCCTATAACTTTTCAGATATCCCCAGAGTCCCAGAGTTAAGTAATTACTGTGGATTTTGGAGCTATGGTTCAAGTCTAAGACAACCCATCTGAATAAATTCTATGGAGAAGGAAGACGTAGCATTCAGCCCAATGTGACTGTAGATCGTTCCTCCCATTTGTCCCCGCATCTTTGTTCATTTCACCAGTGGCATTGCATTAGGATGTCTAAACACTCGCCAAAAAAATAAAGGTGAACTGCATCCTCCATGAATTTCTAACAGAAAGCATTCATCTAATTTTCAACACCGAATTTAAAGGATTTAAATCTTGTCTTAATGAAGATTCTAGGGCTAAAATTCATGGTCAGTTACATAAAGTGCATCTCAATTTATTTATGAATTTTTCATGCCCCCCCCCCCTCTATTTTCTTACACTAAAAATATCTGGATAAGTTAGAATAGTGCCAACTTACTTTGATTTGTTAACTGACTTTCTTTTTAATACTTTAAGAATGGGAAATAAGGGCTTTCTGTGTGTCTCGACTCACAGGAAAATTGAAAACTGCCGAGGAAGGGAACATCCTAATATTTGATATAGATTGAATACATGAGAGGAAATGATTTCTGGAACATTGCTATATATGATTTTTATGTTTATATCTTCTTTCTTATTAAGATACAAATCAGATCTTGTAGCATTTAAGACAAATTTGGTTCTATTCTTTACCAGTCATAATTTTTACTTAAAATTGTGGAATATGCATGTGAATTACACATGTATAATTATAGATAAACCCAACCACTGAATTTTTCTTGTTTTATTTCTGAATGACAAAACTGATAATGAACTTCAATTTAACAAAGTCAGCTACCACATTGAAAAAAAGGGTATTAGAACTGATTTCATACAATAGAGGTGATCTGTGCATTATTCATAGTAACATTTTCTTTCACAATAGGACCACAGACAAATATTTATGTAAATAGATATTTTTGTGTGATATTTTGTGGTACATGTAACTTTTTTTAGTGTTTCACAGCATTATTATTTCATTTTATTTGTACTGAATAATGTTTTTAGGTCCAAGTAGACTTGAATTAATGTCATAATTGTCAGTATTATTGAAAATTATGTCAACTGTACCGTTACTCATCTGTCCCATAGTTTAGAACATGACCTGGCTATCGGCATTGTTGCAAGTGCCTTAAATTCATGGCATCCTATTAAAAAACAAATTTGGTGTTATGCTGCATGACAGAGACAAACACACCTCAAAATGTCGTCCTTTCTTAGCTTGCTGCGTTTTACAGTTCTTTCTGCTGACAATTTATAAGCCTTTATTATATAATATTGATGAATTACAGAAATGATGAAGTTGTTCTCTTATTTCTGTTAAATGTACCAGAGCTGTGTATCTGTTAATGAGATACAGCGTCATTTCTGTGAAATGTATAAATGTATGTGCAGGTCCAATTAATATATGACATACTATCAGTCTGTATACAGGTATTCCTGTTTTGCTAAGCTGTGCCGATTCTGTAAAAAAAAAAAAAAAAAAAATTAGTGCAGTCGAGTTCTATCATATCTCGTTTTATAGACTCCATTAACAATGGTTCAACCCAGAAGAAGAATTGGAAGTGACTGCTAACCACACCTCGTTCTGAAACCAATGATGAAAAAGTACCTTGGTGCACCACTCAACAAAACAGGATGCTTTCTCTGAGTTCTTGTATATGCAAATCACTTATGAGGCAAGTTTTTCAATCGACCTAGAAAGCAAAACATTGAAAGCGTGTTGTGAGCCCTCCTCTCTATCTGCCCCTGCACCAACAGACAGAGCTCTGGGACCTTGACAGTGACTCAGAGATTGGGGCTTTCGGAGTAAAGGGACATTTCTTTAAGCATCATCTACCCAATTTCTTTCAATATATGATGTTTTTACAACTGGTCATTTCTTTTGTACTCTTACAGCTATGGTTATTTGATTGTCCTCCTACACTTTGTTCTACATGAAAGAGTCCTTTGTTAGTCAGAATGCAACAAACTGTCATCAACTGGTCACTGACCACTTGCACTCTTTTGATGTAGATTAAAAACTTTTTCATAAACTTAACCTGCTTTGATTTGCTCTGTATTTTTCCTGCAGCTGTAATTGCCGAGTGCCTGTTGTATACTTTATAGAGTTGAAATAAAAAAAATTACTTTTGAACTTAGTCGATGTTTAATTCGAGACAAGATTCCAAGATTAAAACTGGTATGTCATACTAGAATGAAACTCCATATAGCGCCACTGTAGAATATCATCCTAACATTGTAGAAAATACTTACAATCCAAGCATCCTTCACGAAATAATGCATTGTGGTCTAATATAAAACTAATCCAACATATTAAACAATTCAGTGGGAATAATGCTGGGCCAACCACTGCCTAGCACAGCCTATATAGATGTTGAGTGAATTGTAAAGCAAAAATGGGTACTCAAATAAACCCAGAAATTGGCAGATTTCTGTGCACCACCACCGCTTCCACACAGTCTTTCTGTGGGCTACTGTTGGTCACCTCCAAACTAGGCAAATAATCAAAGGGATGATTCGTGTATGTTACTGCATGCCAGGAAGACATTATTTAATATTTAGGGAACTTCATGAGTCATTGTCTAAGGTTTGTTCACCTGATCCATTGGCTTCATCATATGCACAAAAAAATAAAAATTTAGAACAATGTGATTGCAACAAACTCAGCTCTCTGGAACCCCGATAAATATATTCTTCCTACATCTCTTTGTTTCTTGCTGCAATATACCATGCACGGACTAAAACTGGCTGTAGCATACAGATTCCTTCCATTGATTGCTTTTGTCTTGTTGAATTCATGTTGCCAGTTACAGTGAGTTGAAAACCCTTGTTTGAAGAAAACTAGAAATTCAGTTCGATGAACTTTTGCAGAAGGAGCAAATAAAACAACTTGAAAAAAATACTAGGTCACTACAGTTTCATTTCTTCTACAAATAGAGCTATATAACATAAGCTTTTAACATCCATCTTTTAAATTCCATGATTTCATGGTCTTGATCTTAGAATGATCTTTCATAACCCTAAAAGGATTTTTTGAATTAATTATACAGTTTTGGGAAAAACATGTAGATTAACATGCATAATCATTAGGGATGTGGCAAAGGACAGAGTGTCAGTGACAGTGAAGATGTTGCCGCTACACGGCTGTGGCGTCTTGTACATGTAAACTTCAGTGGAAGTAAATCAGTGCACACTTATTCAGGTATGACAATAAGAATCAGTTACAAATTTGAGATAAAAGGATTGATTGTGTGATCACCCAAGGTGATTACATATTATGCTACAGACCTAATTTATCAGTTGTAGCCTTAAACGTCCCATGCACATAATATATAATAGGATAGCCTACCACACTCTTTTTTTTTTTCCTACTTAGATTTTACAGTTTTCCTCTGTGTTCCACAACTTCTTTCCAACTCAAAAAATCGTGTACATTGATAAAATAGGAATGTTTATCTTTGACAACCGCGTTTTTTACCCAAGGTATTATGGAACAAGAAACAAATTCATCCACATGCCCATTAGCAAAACCGTACATGAAGATTTTAATGGTTGAAGCCTCAACCTCATGAAAAAAAGAAGGAAGGAAGTAAGGGAGGGAGT